ACACGCATACACATAAACAGTCTCTTGCCAGTATGCATTTTGTATTTGCATATATGCAAAAACGCACAAAAAACGACCGCTAAACGAAAATTGCTCATTTTCATTTATGCAAAATTTATGAATTACGCTAATAAGTGTACGAGATAAGTATAAAGTAACAACCATTAATACAGTTAGCAACCAGATTGCTTTAACTCTGTTGCTAAAACAAAGCCTGCTGGGTCCAGTTTGTTTTAAAACAGCTCTTGAGGCGATTTAATGGTCTGTGCATTGATGGCATTTAGAGGCAAGAAGAGAAAGAAGTGTAAGGTGTTTTTTAAATTCAGCATAAATTTGTCCGAATTTTTATTTTTTTGTTAGTCCGCTAAGCACCGATTGGCAGAAATGATATGTATATGATGAAAGTATGTTGTTTTAAAAAAAGATAGCTTGCTTCTTTTTTCGCACTGGGTTTTTCGAAGATGTGCTTCGTCGAAATTTGCTGCCTACTCTGCCGTCAACTTGTTCTGGAAGTGAAAAATCGGAACTCGAACTTAATTATAAATGCAGTTACAGAAGAAACCGGAGAAGTCAAAATGGGTGCCACCACCGCGAACACTACCAGAACCTTATGAAATGCCACCAGATGAGAAGAAATTGTGCGATATCTTGAAAGAAGAGAAAATTCCGCCTACTAGACGATATGCCAAGAAGCCAAAACACCTGTAAGTTCTTGTTATTTCGCCAATCACTCACATTCAGGAAAAGTTTAATAGAAAAATCTTTACATATGCCGTGTACTTATGCATTGTGAAACGTGTAATCAGTTACTGAATGACGAAAAACTGGTGCCGTTTCCTTTTTTTATGGCCTCGAACCCCTTCATTTTTTAGCTGCCATAAATGAGCTGTCATGAAGTTTCAGAGATGTTTTGATTCCGTTCAAAATTCCTTGGGAACATTTACCAGCGCTGCAAACACAGGTAGGCATGGGAGCATTTGGTCACGCACGAGATGCAAATATCAAAGTGGATCATGGTTCCAAGGAACTTGTGCAGGTCAGTGAAAGAAGCAAACTAAGACACGGATATGTAACCTAATTCTACGTTGAGGTTGTTCGGCTTCTTGCGTAAAAATCTGTGCTGTTCGAAACTTGTGTAAAATTCAGGGTGATCTGCGTTCCGAAACATTAATTCCACTATTTTCGCAAGCCGC